AGATCTGCGAAATCCGCTGTTTATACATTTTTGTTGGTTGTGTTTCTACATTTTGATTTATATTCTGAAATAATCTGATTTCAACTGTCCCAAATCTGCATTGAATGCTGGAGATTGAAAAGGCGCCGCTGTCACACTCATGGTTTCGGGATCGAATCCTACCTAACCGTAACGATACTGCCACTCTCAGCCTAGTTGCTTGATGAGGTGGAACGGTTGATCTCTCATTGAAAGTTTTCAAAAGAAATCAAAATTCTTGACGCAGTCCGAAACTTTAGTGATTACCGTAACAGCCCTCAGGGGGCTTTTGTATCGTAAGGCGCTTACAGTTAGCCTATAAACATTCTTATGAGCCTTGTCCTCAACCGAACAATCATTCACTGAACGATCAATAGCCATCTCAATCACTCGATTCCTACTCTGATCGTAAGCTCATTGCTCAAAATCGCAGAAAAAGGAGGTCTTCATAGCATTCTTATTCTATATCTCGAAGAAAAACTCTCACTAAGAAATATGTACTCTTCTATGTTACTCATTATCTTCGCAGTAACGTGACCGGTTAGCCGTCGCCTCGTATGCCATGATTCATTGCAGAGCGATGTTCTATCTCGCCTCAAAAACAGAACACTATGAACCTGATGAAAACGGATTTTGTCGGTCAGTATTCGCTTCAGTAATTATCGCCTATTTTTATGTCGTTTCGTTTATTGGTAACTACGATACCACTGATTAAGTTGCGATTGATCCGTGATTGCAACCAGGAATCATGCTCTCACCTATAATACCTATGTACCTTTAGAGATAGATTAGAGCTCTTAAGGGCATCTTATATGGGCATACCCCAACAGCTAGTTGCTGTACAAAGCCCATTTCATGGGATATTTTTCTAATATATTTTTTTTTATTACGAGTGATATAGAGAGCATGGTGGTTTAGAACCTAGAACAAACCACCAGAAATAATATCAAAAAATCATGTAGTAAAACAGGAAATAATTTTCTTTCAAAAAAGTTCCTTTTTGGATAATTTCACATTACCGCTTCTTTGAAAAATTGAACCAACTTTACTCACGCATTATTCAATTTATGTAATTGAAACAATTGATAAATCCTGAACCACATACCATAAGTAATTAAAAAAGCCCAGTCTCCGCAAAAGTTCCGGTAAAAATCTACCTCTATCGTTTAACAACTATCTACGGTTTTTTGGTCCACCCGAATCCCTTGCCTAAACTAGGTTGCACAATCTTTACCTTAGCTGTATGTTACCAGTAAAATTGAAATTTGCTTGTAAAGGCTTTCCACGTGGTGGTTTATAAAAACGAAGGAGAATTTAATAATGGTAGGAGAGACCAGAAATGAGTCAGAACAGTCACCAATGCGTCACCTGCCAAGACCGCTTCATAAATTATTAAATCTTATGGTATTTCATTCACGGCTATAGATCTTAACAAGGGAATACGCCTGACTTTTTAGTCCCTTTCTGATTTTTGACTGCTTTGGTTATGAAAAAAAAACCGTGGTTAACCGTGATTGCGAGGAACAAGTTCGAGCCTTTTCAGGGCTTCGAGGAGGGATTCAAGAAATTCAGTAAAAAATCAATCGAAATAGTAAATAAACAATATTTAAAGGCGGTCCTTCCATGGTAGGTGAATAGCTTCGAGCTGGCACGTAGAATCACAGAGCATAATTATTAGCTCTCGAAATAACAAAAGGAATCTTCACGGCTATGTCGAACCTATTTCTTCCTCCATCACATCGTATTTGAGATTATCGATAGAGATTAAGGAGGTATATCGTCAGGTACAAATGTGTCCATTCGAATAACAGGGAGAATAGGACGTTTGTATCACGTCCTATTCTCCCTATTATTCGAATGGACACATGTATTCGTGTCCAAATTTGGGATCAAGGTTCGTTCTTACTTTGCACTTGCCTCAATCGGATTTTCAAGTTCTGTTGGGATCCGGTCTAGAGGTTCATTTTACCGCATTATCGGCCCACACCAGACGTCCCATTCTTCTCAGTCCTACACTGGGGTTCACACTAGGTATGAAGCAAAGGCATCAGAACTGCTGCTTTCTATACTGGTGGAACCTCTTCTTTCATAAATTGTATCGAAGGGATTCGTTCACTGAAGCATTAGTCGATTTCTATAACAGGTATCCTGTCGCTTTCACTTGCAATAATTTGCAGTTACTCCTTTTTTTTATCTATATATTTTTTTGTTGATTAATTAGTAGCTTAATTGTAAAAAGTTGCTGTTCGTGAAGCTGTGCCAAAGACATTGCCGTGACATACCTTAAGAATGTTGCTGCTGGTAGAAACTCATTAGAGTCGAATTTAGCGAATCGTTGGAAAAAAATTACTCCAGCTCACAAAAGGATTCACAAATGGACGTAAAAAAATGAAAAAAAACATCATTCAGTTATTCTAAATTAGTATTGCATCTTTCAATTTTTATTAATTTTTTACTCTATTTATTAATCAGATATTAATAGAAAACATTCGTTACAGATACTTTCAAATCGTTTTTTGAACTAATCACAGAAATTCCTATCCAAGTATGTTACCACGGGGAAAGAATGTTTTTTTATTTGAAATGTCAATTTATCAAAATATTTCAGGCGAATTTCTACAAGTGACGCATCAGACGCGAATGGAACACACATGCCAAGATCGGTTGGTTCAATCTTTCGATTCTCGTTCTTTCACAAAATTTGGATGATCAGTGAGTGAGTGAAGGGGTGATTGAGTGATTCCCAATTTCCTGGCTGATAACATTTTATAGGAAAGGGCCAATGGTAGCACAGTTAGTAACACCGCGTGACGCTTGGACCTTCTACCCTCGCTGTTCCAACAGCTAGCGTAGACTGCTTGGAAATTAAGGGAGCGGAATGTATGGGAGGCCAGATCTGCTCACCCGACTGGGGATCCTCAAATACTGCTTCACAATTGGTATTTTCATCGCACCTTCTTACTTCCTCTGAGCCACCGCCCCATCAACTGTTATTATAATTATTCGGGATCATCGGTATGGAAAAGTGTTCTTAGACCAACCCTTATAAGTCATTGTATAGGACAAGCATTCAAGTGGCATACCTCTTGGTAATGGAGGTAAGACTCACGGTATATCCACTAAGATAACCTTTTGACGTTCCACTCCATCCTTATAGTCTTTCATAGTAGACCTATCGCCCGATATCGCAGTTTTTTATGGGTCAGGACAGTCATCATGAATAGCAATATCGAAACATAGGTAAAGTAAGAATCATAATCGTTTCCCAATAATCATAACTGAGCGAACAAAAATCACAACTAGCGAACAAGAGTCTTTTCAGTAATGCATTCCTTTATTGGTGGGATATGCCCGCTAAAAGTGAGTCTTTCGGATAATCACGTTCGAGAGAAAAGTTCCGGATCGAATTAGGCATAGGGAAGTCCACATAAGGAATATATCCTTCACTTTTTNTTTTTCGAGAAAAGTTGACAGAACATTCACGACTAACCTTAGCCAGACTGTTCCAAACAACTAAAAAATTATTCGAAAATTCAAATGCGATGAAGCAACAAAAATAGGAAACTACATAGAGCTGCTGCTGGTGGTGATCGGAGAAGACCAAGGTAGTATAGAATGGTTTTAAAGGCGAAACGGGGCAGAACTCAGGAGACCTTGATTGGTGTAGTGGGCGATTGTGCACGACCACGGTTGGTCAAGAAGGCTCAAGTTGTTAATCGACCTCCAGTAGTCACAATACGTATAAAATGAATACTTCAAAGCAAGCTTAACGGCTCGGTACGTCTTCCCTATCCATAAAAGCCAAGCTGGAAAACTCTTTAAACTGCCAGTCTTTCGAGTTGGGTACCAGAGTAGTTGGGGGTTGTGTGAATCCTGTGTTTAGATTAATAGGGCATCAAAGTCGAACGAATTGACGAACGATTGAGTGACTGAATGATTTATTGATTGGTGACTTACTTGATGAAAGGAAAGAAATAACAGGAAGAAATAATGAGATTAAAAATCAAAATAGCATTTGCACATTATTTCAGGTTACCTTTACCGCTTGCAATGAGTACTTCGAAGACGATCAGTAAGTCTTTTCTAAAGGTCATTTTGTCTTTTCCGTCTACGCTATGTGAAAAAATCAGCAACTGTTATGGCCTAGATGAGTGTTATCGCAAAAAAATGAAAAATAATGCTGATGAAAAAAATTATAAAAAAATGATTCATAAGCTGATAAAACATCGAAAAAAAATACTAAAAACCATTCCACCTCCCGAAAGTGACGCCGTTTCCTGACCACTCTTGAGGAATTTTCGAGATAGGNCAAGGAAATTACGTGGCTCGACCTGTTTTAACTTGTTAATAGTGCTCCCACCCACTCGGAGGATATCCCGTGCTTTTTCTTGTCAGCATCGCCTAAACTGTTGGTACGCGTAACATTTCCTGTATGATCACGGGTTACAAGGTCAACTCCTATTCTGTAGGCAGGGATCAATCGCAGGGCGTGGTTTAGGCGTGTGGGTGGGGTTGACACTGCAAAAAAGTTTCTATAGAACCCTGTTTTTCTATCTCTGAGCAGAAATTAGCCTTGTTTCTTTGAGCGCTCGAGCCGAATCGTGACGGAACAACTGTCGTCTTTTTTTCACAAAAAATGTAAAAATACTGTAACAAAACTAGTTGCTAGTTGCATATCAACTTTGTGTTCAGATCACTTCATCACAGACACATCGGGTTCAAGCAACNTTAAACTGTTGGTACGCGTAACGTTTCCTGTATGATCACGGGTAACCACTATTCTATAGGCAGGGATCAATCGCAGGGCGTGGTTTAGGCGTGTGGGTGGGGTTGACACTGCAAAAAAGTTTCTATAGAACCCTGTTCCTGTTACTGAGCTATTATCCTTGTTTCTTTGAGCGCTCGAGCCGAATCGTGACGGAACAACTGTCGTCTATTTTTCACAAATATTGTAAAAATACTGTAACAAAACTAGTTGCTAGTTGCATATCAACTTTGTGTTCAGATCACTTCATCACAGACACATCGGGTTCAAGCAACGTGCTTCTCAAATCATTCTACGGGTACCGGCAGCACATATTCGACGCATCAAAGAAACAGAGGGAATCGGATCGATTAGTCGCGAAACTCAGCACTTCTCACGTAAGCCCCTTTTTGTTGGACGATAACATTCAGAGTTGGACCTTATTGGCCAGTTCAATGGGCTCTCACTTCCTAGTGTCCGATGGCGTCGAAGAGGGGTCTGAAAAGGTTGAGGCTACTTTTTATCAAACGCGCCGGCTACGAGCACCAACTACCCTAATAATCCCGTATATATGGCCCGGAGTTGTCGCGTTAAGTACGAGCTTCTCGATTCAAAATATGGCCCCTCCTTTTTTGATAAGAGACTTAGACAATATGATCGATTTCTCTCAAGGCTAAGAGAGCGGCAAGAACCATCGAACTATTACGGAGTTGTTCCGGTAATCTCTTAAGACCGTTACTGACTAGTATGACCACAAGATGCAGTATATTAGAAGCTCGATCCATATCTTTACAGAGACGACGACCATGCACGGTCCTAAGCGTATCTACCAGGGCAAACGGTTTTCGACTCACTTCTGGGTTCTTATGATGCTCGTTTCCGGAATTTTATTCATTTTTCAAGTTGCAGAACTCGTATCCATGTATCTCAGCAAACCCATTGTATCACAGGTGGGTTCGCCTTTAGAAATACGTTCAAAAAGTCATAAGAGGCGGTCGAACAAATTTGTCTTTCGTAAATGAGGGCAGATGATAAAAATAAGCGAGCAGTCTGAGCAAAAAGCCTAAACGAAAGTCCGTAGGGGACGAGTTTCACCGTAGCGTTGGTTGGACCTGATCTGCCAAAACAACTGATCTTAACCCTTGGTCTTTGATAACATGAAAACGGGTTCGGAAAAGAACAGATTTTTTATCAATTTATTTTGTTTAGATATTATTGTATTGGTCTGCAACAACCTAGCTACGAAACTGATCGTTTTTTGACCAGAAAGGTTTCAAAAACTCACAGGTTAATAATTTCTGAATAGTTCTTGTTTCAGGTATCATTTTTAATAAACGATGAGGGTATGGATTTCCCTTCAGTGACCTTATGTAACTTCAACCCAATTAGAAAGTCTTATATCAAACGTAAGGTTTAGTAGAACTAAGTTCTGAAAAAGAAAAAAAAATCGTTGATATTTACAGATCTCAATGCGACCGGTGATTTTTCCAATGAACTTCTTGAATACTTACTGCAATCGCTCATGGACACACAAGCCCTCTACAGTAATGCTGATCGAGCCGAATTGCATGTCGGTAAGTTTAAAACCAGGTCCATTGAAGGGGTAGATTCCGAAAATTGGAAACCCACATCAAATTTTGAGCTAGGCGTGCTTAGAAAACTGGATGTAAGGGACAGTTTCAGTAGGATTATCTGAGCATGAGAATGTTTTCGCTTCCGCTAACTGTTCCGATAAAGAGGTTAGGGTTATAAATTAAGCATCAAAAATCTCTCCAAACGGCAAAAGCTCATTCTCGATGATTGTTTTTTTATGATGGATTTACCTTTTCAGGTGATCGAGCATTACAAGTCTACCAAGAGCAACATCCCAACTTCACAATTGGTGACTTCTTTGAGGAGGCAGGGTGAGTGCCAATTTATTAGCTTACATTTTCCCCTAAAAAGCTAAGAACGGTGCATTGGCAAGCATCGCAGCCCCTATTCGCAACAATGGTTAACAGATCGGAAATCTTCCCCATTCGAACCTATCCAATCATTCCATTTCTTTACGATCGGTTACCAACTTTATATGGCAAATCAACTAGTAGCTTTTATAGGAGAAGTGTGCCTGTTGTAGTTTTTCAACATGGAACGGTCAGAGTGATCGAACATTGTTCTACTCTGCTTTTGCATTCTCCGCACATGTTTTTGATGCCTTGTCTTATGATTCTCTTGAAGTGTTCGCCAATATATATCATATAAGAAGATTACTAAGGCAAAAAAACAATTTTTTTTCTGCATACTACAGTACACTCAGAAAGAGTATTGACGCTATCGCTGAAATCGGTTCTTTGGACAAAGTTTAATGACGCACATAAATGTTAACGTTCTCATAGCATATTATTAGGTTAACCAGTGTCGAAGTACTGCCATTACAGTACAGTAGAGATCACAATTTGAATCATCCTCCTCACTTCATATTACTCACTTCACTCCGCAGTGCTCACTTTACTCCATTAGCCTACCCACAAAGTGACTGCTTTTTATATAAGAAGAATAAGTTTTCCATATCACTACCTTTATCATAATCACGAAGTAACCCGGACGGANGACAAACCGACATACCGACATACCGACATACCGACATACAGACAAACCGACATACCGACAAACCGACAAACCAAGTTACTGCTTTATATATAAGAAGGATAACAATGACTATATTTTTATGATAAGGTACAAACAAGCAGCTATAACTCATATCACCATTCCTGATTAAACCAACTGTAGAGTTGCAGTTCACGAAGTCACGAAAAGGGGCGTGTGAAAAAACCTTCATGTATAGAGTACGTAAGAAACCGCTAGGTATACTGGCGGAAAGTTACATGGAAAAACCTATCATTACACCCTATTCCCCATCTATGTATATGATTTCCACGTTGCCTTGATGAGAGCAGCCTCGGAATTGCACTTGTCAATTCGGAGGGACCATAGGCATAACCCGTTAGGAAGCGAGCCACTAACTTTCACTGCGCATTGCTTTGAAAATTTCCCCGATTTTCGATTAGAATGTTTAAGACGTTTAAGAATGAAGTCAATTTGTTTTTCGCCCGATCTAATAGACCACAGGTAGACCAAATTCAAGGAAAAGGTAGCCGACGAATGTGGACGGAGCTTTCCGAGATGGGCGGAGCTTCACTGAGAATAGACATGATGTCACAACACTTCTACATAAGACATTACAGCTTCAACTGTACGGAAACCATGAAGTTGTGCTCATTTGGTGGTCGACAGTTTGATTGTTGCAAATTTATGGAGCCACGATTGACTAATCTCGGGAAATGTCACACACTGGATATGCGAAATGCACGGGAATGGATGCAAAAGCAGACAGTGGCTGGTGCGAATGCGGGGTTGGTGAGGATTGTTTGGTGTTCGTTGGTCTTCATATCTATCCCTAAAAGTTCCTTTTCAGACTTCAAATTATTCTTGATACACACATGGAAGAACAATTCGACGAGACCGGAGGTGAGACAGTATTCAGTGAATCTGATTTGATCGAAGCGTGAGCAAAATCATGTGCATTGGGCAGTGAAAGTCTTTGTATGTCACCGGCGATGTTTGCGACGGCTCGCTCGATCACCAGCTTTTATAATCTGGGCTCGTCGGAAAATCCCCTTCACTTATCACATCTAAGGCCGAACAGCGATATGCGTTAGATTTTCAAACAAAATCGCTAAATTTTTTGGACGTGTAGCTGGCCCCACGTCGATTACCCGTAGTCATGTAGGGTGTCACTGAATGGGATTCGATCCAGCATGGTGCACCACAGCTATACGGCACCTCCGGCTATTCCGCTACCTGAGTCTAATGATGTTTCATTCAGACGATGCGGATGCAATCTTCTCAAATGCTTTCGAAAACGGCTTCCGCTACTATGTTCATGCGCCAGACACGATACCGTATCTGGTGTCCGAGGGTATCAGCGTCTCGCCAGGATCACGAGTCTATTCAGCTATCTCTACACATACGGTACGCTCTTCAGCAGGCATATTCAAAGAGGCTATCTAAGCTAGGTGGATAGATTTCCAAGCTCATTGCGTTTCACGAGCACCGCCCCTTACGTAAACCACGCCTAATGCAGTAAATCAATGACATTAAAGAATGCCATACCATTCTTCGACGAGACGTACTTCTATCAGAACATTTGTCTGGTCAATTACAAATGGATGAGGTGTTCAATATTCTGCTTTGGTTCATGTTTTGGGCGGGATCCACGTAAGTGGGTGGAGCTTGTTAGACAAAGTCATCAGCAATACTGGGCATCAATTTCAACAAAACAGTTTTTCGGTGAAGAAACTGGTCCATTACTTTGGCAAAACTGCTCTTAACAAACTATCTTTCATCACTACTTCTTACTTTTACCTACTTTTTTAGTACGTTCTGCTCCCGTCCGATAATTGGGGAAACTGTAGTAACAAGTGGCCGCAATCGTATCACACCGACTTGACTTATTCGTCAGTGAATTGCGAATCACTTTGCAAGGTATTGACATCATAAAGTTTTCCATACAATTTCAATTTGTTCACCTTCAAAGTAATGTCGACACCAACTCTTATGCATCTTACTGAATATTTCTAATAACTCTATAAGTGTCCCTAAGATTACAACTTCTTGGCTCGATGTGGATGCAGTCCATTTACCTACAACATAGATATGTGTAAGTAAATTCTATAGGTTCGCTTTTTTTGGCAGTATCAATACAACTGAGTTGCCGTAATACCCATGAATACAAAATAACATCAATTTTCTCGACATTTCACCCCCTACATTCGATCTATGTCACGGCAATGTATGTTGTTAAAACTGCATGAAATCGAGTCTTGACAAGAAAGCCGTGAGGTTGAAAGTGAGAATGTTGGGAAACCAAACATTTCCTATGCCAATCAACTTTTTCGCTCTTTATCCTACAAAATCCTTTGCACCCTGGAATACTGAACTAGAAATATTATCTGATCCGGTGGAACACCGCGATTTTTGAGCTTTTTTTGCACCCCTTTTGGATGGGCACACGAAGGGCTTAAGGAACTGGTATATACCCTTATTTTGACATCACCAGCACCGCCCTCCGGTTATTCATTAGCCCTTTCGAGTTTCAATCGTGATACCGTGTATGAAATGGGG